ACAATGAGATACCTCCTCACACCAGTCAGAATGGCTAAAATTAACAAGTCAGGAAAGACAGATGTTGACAAAGATGTGGAGAAAGGGGAACCCTCCTACACTGTTGGTGGGAACTCAAGCTGATGCAGCCACTCTGGAAAACATTATGGAGGTTCCTCAAAAAGTTAAAAATAGAGCTACCCTAAGACCCAGCAATTGCACTACTGGGTGTTTACCCCAAAGATACACATGTAGGGATCCGAAGGGGCACCTGCACCCCAATGTTTATAGCAGCAATGTCCACAATAGCCAAACTATGGAAAGAGCCCAAATGTCCATCAACAGATAAATGGATAAAGAAGATGTGGTTCATATACACAATGGAATATTACACAGTCATCAGAAAGGATGAAATCTTGCCATTTGCAATGACATGGATGAAACTAGAGGGTATTATGCTAAGTGAAATAAGTCAATCAGAGAAAGACAATTATCCTTATGATTTCACTCATATGTGGAATTTAAGAAACAAAACAGAGGATCATAGGGGAAGGGAGGGAAAAACAAAACAAGACGAAATCAGAGAAGGAGATAAACCATGAGAGACTCTTAATCATAGGAAACAAACTGAGGGTTGCTGGAGGGGAGGGGGGCTGGTGGGATGGGGTAACTGGGTGACGGGCATGAAGGAGGGCACATGATATACTGAGCACTGAGTGTTGTATGCAACTGATGAATCACTGACCTCTACCTCTGAAACTAATAATACACTGTATGTTAATTAATTGAATTTAAATAAAAATTTTTTAAAAAAAAGATGGGATAGCTGGTGCCACGGTAGCTGGTGTGTGAGGTGGGGACAGCCACTCTGCACAGTGGTTTGTACATTCAGGGTAGGTGAAGACCACATACACACAGGAGCACTTCTGGAGAGAGCAACACTGGCCACGTGCACCAGAAAAGTTAGAAGAATAGAAATGGCAGCATTTGAGGCAGTAGCTAAAAATCGAGTGCAACCTAATGTCCATGAAGGAGAATAAACAGATTGCAGTATATTTGTACAGTGGAATACTAGACAGCCATGAACAGGAATGGCAAGGGCTACAGGTATCATCAGGGATGGATTGCTCCAACATAATGTCGAGGGGGAGAAAAGCATGTTACAAAAGTATGCACAGTTTATGATGCCATTTAAATGTTAAAAACATGCAGGAATATACTGCATTTTTTCAGAACATGGGTGAAGACATGCACTGGGGTGATCAACCCCAATCTCAAGTGGGGTTCCTGCAGAGGGCGCTGGGGAGGGCTTTTCTAACCCAGTAAAACTCCTTTCCCTTCTCTGGACTCTGCCAGCAGCCTTTGTCTTGCCACACACCTCTCACGCAGCAACATAGCTGAAGGTTCCCCGCACGGGCGTCCTGTGTCCCACCTACACTGTGAGCTTCACGGGAACTCCCACTGGCCAGTTTCACAAGGGAGCCCGATAAGCCAGCACAGGGCTGGGTGTGTGCCCATGTGTGCCCGTGTGCGTGCTCGTGGGTGTGCATGCTCATGTGTGTGCACATGTGCATGCCCGCGTGTGCATGCCCATGTTGGCTATGGCACAGGACCAGGTGGAGGTGGGTGAGGCAGAAGATGGGGGCGGACAGAAGGCACCCAGGGGAGAGGTTCTGGGGAGGGATGCTGAGGGGCCCCTCCTGGGCTTCTCCTGGTTCACGGTCCTCCGATGCCCGGGACAGGCAACACTGGGGCAGGTTTGAGTCAAATCAGTGGTGCTGTCCACACCACACCTGCTTGGGAGGTCGAGCACAGAACTGACTGGAAGCAGAGGACCAGGCTCCTCTTCCGCAGCGGGAGGGGCTGCAGAGCCTGTGGTAGGTGTCGAAGCCCACGCAGTGCAGCCCACACATCAGATCCAGACGCCTGGGTGGTAGGAACATCCAGGGAGACAGCAGTTCTGCTCTGTACTGCTGTCCCCGCGCTGTCCCCAGCCCAGCCTCGAGCCCCTGTATACCACCTGCACCTGCGGTGCCCCTAGCTGCTGCCCTCCCCCAGGCCAGGGGAGCCTCTGCTGTGCCCCCCGCGTGCGCCCCCTGCATGGCAGCGCTGTGTCTCCTGCCGGATGGCCCATGGCGCCCGTCCCCGTGCTGCCCAGTGGCCTGCAGCCTGGCCCCCTCCTGCTACACGCCCATGAGGTGCCAGGTTGGTGGGTCTCAAATGCACCCACCTCTCTGACCCAGAAAATTCATTCCAAAACCAACCCCCAGAAACAAGGCATGGAGCTATGGTGTCTTCGGAGACAAGGTGAGGGAGAAGCCGAGTTTCCTGTATCTCCGCGCAGCCAGGGACTTCCAGCTGGTGCCCGTTCCCGGGGGGGAGGCTGGCTCCCGAGGCCACACAGCCTGGATCGCGTGCACCCACGCTCTGCTGCCCAGCCCGAGGCTCTGCCCGACACTCAGAAGATGAACGCTTTGCTGGGGGACGGGAGGTCAACTGGCCTCAATGGAAGGGTCACAGGTGCCAAAGGAGGGGAAGGGACAGTCCACAGCCAGGCCCTCCCACCCCCAGTCCCCGCGGCCCCCACACCTGCCCAAGTACAGGAGCAGGTTTAACCTGAAACAGCCCCCAAATAGAGCAGCAGGGAAGGGTCAAGAGGATGCACGACACAGGACATGCGAGGAATCCTAGCAAGAGCCCACGGGGTGGAAAAAGTTCTGGCCAGTGCGTGCAGGATGACCTCCTACCGTCGTTTAGAGCCCTGCATGAGGAAACTTGATTTTCTGGGACACAGAGGGGTGGCCCTGCTCTCTCTCTTAAAAGGCAGCAAACAAAGAGCACACAAATCTTTACCCCGAGAAGCCAGGGGTAAAATACTGATGGTGTTCTAGGTAGTAGGTTTGTGGGGGTTTATTAAAATAATCAATAACTGGGCGCCTGGGTGGCTCAGTTGGTTAAGCGACTGCCTTCGGCTCAGGTCATGATCCTGGAGTCCCGGGATCGAGTCCCGCATCAGGCTCCCTGCTCGGCGGGGAGTCTGCTTCTCCCTCTGACCCTCCCCCCCTCATGCTCTCTCTCTCATTCTCTCTCTCTCTCTCAAATAAATAAATAAAATCTTTAAAAAAAATAAAATAAATTAAAATAAAATAATCAATAACTGATCATCAGTCAATTAAAAATGGGCCACACGTGGACTGGCAACAGAAGTGAGTCGAGCTGGGGGCCAGAACTGATTGGGTTCTGCAGATCTAAGCTATAAAAGAGCTAACAGCTGGACTCAACTTTCTGGGACCCAGGACCCGGGACACAGGACATCTTCTGACGCGAAGGGGAAAGCCTGTCCTCATGCCGAGGCAGGAACCGACAGCCAAGGGGAAGCAAGAGCAGCTAGGACCAGAAGAGGGCGAGCCATGGCCCCCAGCCACGTGCGCCACCCCTCCCTTCGCAGGGGCTCCCACTGGGAGAAGGGCTTAGCCTTCCCCCTTCGTAGCATGGACTAGGTGGGCAGAAAACATAGAAGACAGGTGTACAGAGCTGCATCAAGAAAGCACGGTTTATTTGGCTCACACAGGGCTGGTTCCCTGCTGGAGACAGAGGACTCCGGAAACCAGGGCCTCCCAGTGGGGACACAGAGGGATCCAGATCATCCTGCTACATCCTTGCCACAGGCTTCAGAGGGTCCGTTGGGCATGTTCTTCATCTGCCCTGTGCAGAACCTGGAGGCCACTGAAGACTTGTTCCAGGAGGGGAGCAGGTGTGGCCCCCTGTGCCCTGGGAGCAGCTGGGTGGGAGGCTCATGGTCAGAAGCAGGACGGGGTGCTACAAGAGATGGGTCTGCAGAGCAGGGTGGGGTGGGAGGGCTGGCAGCCCCCGGAGGACTGGCAGGAGGGGGCCATGAACACAAGGGGCTTGTAGCTCACGGGCAGGCAAACAGAGGACTGGCAGGAGGGGACCACATACACGGCGGGCTTGCAGCTCACGGGCACGTAGCAGGACGCCTGGCAGGAGCTGGGGGTGCAGCAGGACGCCTGGCAGCCCGTGGAGCAGCTGGTGAAGCTCATGGTGGCGTGGGGCTGGAGTGGAGTCAGGGAGGAGGGCGGTGATGTCTGGAGGCTCCTTCCCTGGGCGGCCTTTATACCCGGGCTGCGGGTGTCCAGACAGCATGGGACACGCTGCCGTCTTCCTTGTTTGTGCTTCTTCTGGGCTGGAACTTGGCTTTCTGTTGCAGATGTTTTATTTGTTTGGCCCTTACCTTCATGACTAATTGCCCCCTCTTCAAGCACGTGTTACACTTGGAAACCCGCCCAAGTGTCTCACTGGCACCAGCCGGATTCTGCCTCCTTACGATTTCGCCAGAGCTACTTCTTTGTAGATCTGAAAACATGGGTGTCCTGGTCTCCCTCTGCGTGGGACGATGGTCCCTGGACAGCCTCCCTCGCATCAGGAAGGCTCCGGGGCAGGTGCCGGGAGAACAGGTGTGTCTGGCTCATGTCTGAGTGTCCCAGGAGCTTCCGGCCGCAGGTCAAGCATGGCCGACACTCGGGACCACCCTCCCGCAGCATGAGTGTGGACGGAAGGGCGTGGGTCACGGAGAACTCCTGGCGGGCAGCGACCTCAGATCCTTGTCTCGAGAAAGCCTCCTCATTAGAGAAGCACAGTGGACAAAGGCATGGACCTCCTGCGTGCAGCCCCACCAGAAGCAGGGGTGTCCCCAGGAAGTGGGAGAGGACACCAGCCGCACTCATGCAGCCCACAGATGTCAACAGTCACGTGGGACTCAGAGGAGGACTGGCTGAGTCTGGTGGCGGGTCTTCCGCTCCTTCTGGGGCTCTCGCCTGACCTCAACCACCAGAAAGCCAGCAGGGAGGACCACTGTCTGCCCCTACCCCCGGGGCTCTGGCTGGTAGACTTCGGAGTCCACACTGCTCTTACAAAGAACGCGCCATCTCTTGCATTCCCCTCCACCCCACCCTTGATGGGGAGAACAGCTCTAGAATTTAATGCAGAAGATGGTATTTCTGAAAACACTCTTGCAAGATGCTGCTGAATTATAAGACTCAGGACTGGTTTACAAGAATTTTCCAGAGCAGGGCCCCAAAGATGGACACAGCTCAGCGAGGTCCAGGCACCCACACCGAGGCATACACATCCAGACCCAGACACTCACAGGCCAAGCCTCTTTGTTAGGGAGACACTGTTCCCCATTCCGGGGTCTCCTGCGTGAGGAGAGTCGTCCATCTGTGCTCCCTCACCCCCTCCTCAATGCCACTCCTCACTCCTTGCACACAGAGACCCTGGAGCCCGCCTACCTGCAGACAGCACCTGCTGGGGTCCACCTGGACAGGGCAAGCTCAGCATAAAGACTCTGACCTCTTTTTGGGGTGGGGGGTGTCCTCCACGATTTTCCAGGACAGCTTGTCACTGACAGGAGAGTCTGTCTGCTTCTGTTCTGGAAGGCACACAGCTAGCCACACACCTAGACACCTGCAGCTGGTGGAACAGATCCGCCCCAACAAAGTGTAAGACCAGGCTGCACACGTCTGAGATGGTCAGTTAATAACTGACCGTCTACCAGAACAAAAATCAATAGCCAGTAAAAGAGAATGCAGACGTCCTATATCTAGTGTCATAATTAAGTTCAATATACAATAAAAAATCACTAGACATAAAAGATATAGAAAACGTAATCCACAGTTAAAGAAACAAGTCCATCAGTAGTCATGAAACTTGAGATGGTCTGGACGTTGGCTGGCAAACAACGGCGGGAGAGCGGCTCTTACAAATACGTTTCAAGAATCCAAGGAAGATATGTTCAAAGAGTAAAAGAAAGTATTATTTTCATGACTGAATGGAGAGGGAATGTTGGGCAGATAAATGGAAACTGGTAAAAAAAAAAAAAAAAAGGAATTCTAGAACTGAAAACACAACGGTGGAAATGAAATGTCCACTGGGAAGTGAAAAATAGAAGAATAAAGAGTACGAGAAAGTGAATACACATCGAGAGAAATTATCTAACCTGAAAGAAAAGGAAGAGTTAAGAAAAATAAAAAGAGGGGTGCCTGGGTGGCTCAGTCCGTTGGGCGTCCAACCCTTGATTTCAGCTCAGGTCATGGTCTCAGGGTCATGAGATCGAGCCCCATCTCGGGCTCTGTGCTCAGCAGGGAGTCTGCCTGGGATTCTCTCTCTCTCTGCTCAGCCCCCTGCTCTCTCTCTCTCTCTAATAAATAAATCTTTAAAAAAAAGAAAAAGAAAAAGAGCCTGTGAGCCAGTGTCAGACAGTCTAACACACAGGTTAAGTTCAATCTCCAGAGGAGAGAATGAAATCAAAGCATAAAAATGTGTTGAAGACACAATGGACAATTCTCCCAAACTTGATTAAAAAAAAAAATGACACCAACTTACAGATCCCAGGGTCTTAGAGAAAAACCCAAGCTAGATAAATACAAAGAAAACCATCTCTGGGCACATAATAGTTATAGTGATGAAAACTGAAAATACAGAGCAAAGCCTTCAAAGCAGTGAGAGGAAAAACACTTCACAGACGAGAAAAAAAGGTAACAGCTGACTTCTCATCAGTAGCAGAGACCAGAGGACAGATGAGAACAGTGTTGAGATGCTGAAGACAGACACTGCCAATCAAGGATTCCCGGTATAGCAAAAAAAAGAGAGAGAGAGAGAGAAAGTCCTGTGAAAGAGGGTGAGATGAAATCTTTCCAGGAAAACGAAAGCGAAGAGAAACACTAGCAGCAGAGTGCGCGACAAGGAAGACTGGGTGGGGGGTGCTGGGAGAAGCCCTATGGGCCGGAGGAAGGAGCAGGAGTGAAAGGCTCGTTTTTGTTCTTCTCATGGTTGGCTTGGACCACAAGTGACCGATGGAAATGTGCAACTCCATTACTAGGTCACAGCTGGACATGTGGTCACGTGCTTTTGCCCTGAATCCTCTTGGGCCTAACTGTGGTTTTAACCTGTGGTCAGAGCCAACGGAGGAGTGAGTGTGTGGACCGCTGACCTCAGACTCATGGCTCGTCCACAGGTCTCAAGGTCACGCCACTGTGTGGTCTCAGGCAGACTCCAGGCTGTTCATTGTCTCAGCTCTGACCACAGCCTGAGCCCCCAAGACCACAGTCTTGGAATAACTTAACTAGTGTGACTTGTTACCGGGCCATGTAGGGAGCCCTTCTGTCTACTATGGTAAAGACCACAGACTCCAGAGTGAAACTGAGCAGCTTCAAATTTCTGCTTCTTCACCCCAGTGGTGCGAGCACACAAACATCATGGAATCTAACTGCGCCTCCATGTAAGAGGGGTATCACCTACCCCTTGGATGGCGGCAAGGATTGGTGACTAGTCAGTGATCAGCTGATCCAGGTAAAAGGCTTAGCACGGTGCCGGGCACAAAGCTGGGACTGGATGACATGGTGGATGACATGGCCACGGCTGTCCCCAGTGAGGAGCCCAGCTGCTTGGCTCTGGTCCATTGGGAAGACCTTCTGGATCACGGAGTTTCCAAATCTAAACGGGGGACCCCTGGTCTGGCAAGCAGGATGGTGCTTATGTGGTCAGAGGACAGGGTATGTAAGCTGGGGGAGGACCTTGAACATCCTGATGTGCGGTCTCCTATCCCCCGCTGATGGTCCTTCACCATCCAACCTGGGCTCTGAGTCCAGAAATCACAGGGCTGCTGGGTCACACTGAGCCTCCAGCTGTTGCAGTTTCCTGAACCGAGTCACTTCCCCCAGAAACTCCAGGAAGAGACGCACAGAGGAGGAGGAGGAGGAGGCAAACAATCAGGCAACCAGGAGGAAGGCACCTGTGTGGCTTGTTGCCAGGATGCCATAGCCCGGGTATAAAGGCTGCCTGGGGAAGGAACCTCCAGACCAGCCCTGTCCTCCACCCTGACTCCACTCCAGCCCCACACCGCCATGTACTTCACCAGCTGCTCTACAGGCTGCCAGCAGGCCAGCTGCACCCCCAGCTCTTGCCAGACATCCTGCCCTGGTTCCCTGGACTGCATCCCCACCTGCTGCCCTCCCCCAGGCTGTGGGGGTTCCTGCAGTGCCCCCTGCGTGGCTCTCCTGTGTCAGCCTATGTGCAGCTCATCCATCTCCTGCCAGTCAGCCCGTAGCTGCCCGTCCCTGTGCTGCCCAGTGGCCTGCGGCCAGGCCTCCTCCTGCAGCTCAGGCTGCTGCACTCCCAGGTCCTGCCAGGTGACCTGCTGCACCCCCAGCTCCTGCCAAACGTCCTGCTGCCTGCCCGTGAGCTGCAAGCCTGCTGTGTGCCTGCCCGTGAGCTACAAGCCCATTGTGTATGTGGCTCCCTCCTGCCAGTCCTCTGGGGGCTGCCAGACCTCCTGCCCCACCCTGGTCTGCAGGCCTGCCCCCTGCGGCACCCCTAACTGCTCCTGACAAATCACCTGGAATATCAATTCTCTATTGACCTCTCCCACCATGTCTCATTACTGAATCAGTGATGGTGGTTTTCTTCTCCATGAAAGCTTAGTGATGATTAAAAATAAATCTCTCTGCTCCTCAGTGCTGTGTCTTTCTGTGACTTTGCCCTGAAGCTGTTTCTCCGTGTCATCTGCTCCCTTGGACCAGCCAATGGCTGAGAAGTCCTGTCCGAGGGTGGTTCTCTTGGGACGGTCATGCCCCTCAGCACGTTGGGGAACCCCTCTGGGAAAAGTGGTAATCCAGGCTCTTGGATCTGAATGGGGCATTCCTTCCCACTGTTTCAAATGAGGACGTCATGCATGGTTCTTGGGATCCTAGAAACTGTGCCAATGAGGGGCAAACAATGGGAGGAAGAGACACAGCCCAAGTGACCCACAGCAGCTTGCAGTCATGTGCCTTGGGGGCTTCCCAAGGGGAGATGTTCATTGTGTGTTGCCCCAAAGGTTGCACCAAGGAGCCAGGTTGACAGGGATGCAGATTTCTGCTCATAGAAGAAAGAGTTCCCTAAAAGTCAGAGCTACCCTACAAAATAATGGGCTCCTGGAGGCTGTTCCAGCTTCTGGGTGCTGAAGCCTTGAAGAGAAGGTACATTCATTCCACTCTCTTAATAAGAGGCAGAACTGGATCAACCCACATGTCCATCAACAGGGATGGATAAACAAACCATGACAGTCATACAATGGAATACAAATCAGCAATTAAGAGGACCGAACTGCATTTGCAACAATATGAATGAATCTCAAAAACATGGTGTTGGTGGACGGAGTCGGGCAGAAGAGCACCTGTTGCATGATTCCATTTAAGTGAGGCTCTAAGACAAGCTGAACTAATTTACTCTTTTTAAAGATCAGAACAACCATGAGAGACTATGGACTCTGAGAAACAAACAGGGTTTTAGAGGGGAGGGGGGATTGGTTAGCCCGGTGATGGGTATTAAGGAGGGCATGTACTGCATGGAGCACTGGGTGTTATATGAAAACAATGGATCGTGGATCACCACATCAAAAACTAATCATGTATTGTATGGTGACTAACATAACATAACAAAATTTTAAAAAGAGAGAG